TAACACACAGACAGCCCCTCATCAATATGCGTTTTCTGCACTGCATAGCTGCAAAAAACGCGTAATAAAAAAACGAATGTCAGCACCTCTTACCTAAATGTTTATTAAAATGGTGATCGAAATTCAGGCGGTATCCTAACAAAAGATGATTTTGCGAAATTTAAACCAACGGTGCACGAACATCCGCTAATCAACGATCACTTCTCGGAAGAACTGGCAATGTGCGGCCCACCGCCACCCTCTTCATTTGCGGTCACTCAGCTGATCATCTCGCTGATGGCTCGTTGGTTCTTATGTCGTTTTTTTCCGCTGTTTAAGAAAGCTTTTTGACAAAATCGCTTTTTTGTAAGTGTTGTTTGTGTGTTTTGGACAGTGCAAGTGGTGCGTTAAAAAAGTAGGGAAGCCAGAATTTTGAAGACACGACTCCAAACTGTATATGCGATCTTTTTTTCTTATCTCTTATTCCCAGTCTATCAACTGTCCTAACTTGCTTATTTATTTTCAGTGTTTTACTTAGGAAAAGAAGAATGGCCATTTCTAGTGCCCAGCATAAAAGCTGCACTTGCTTTGCGAAAACTCCAAGTGCAGCTGTAGACCAAAGTAACTCTGGAATAGTGGCGCTCAGCGTGCAGTTAGCTTTCAGACGTTAGTGTTAGGAACTTGACAACCTTGGCGTCTTTTTCTAACTTCCCTTAATTAAATATGTTGTAGAATTCTACGGACCAAAGACAAATAAGGACGTGTTGAAGCATGACCCGCTCTTCTACCATCGTTTTATCGAGGCACAAAAATTTGCATATGCTCAAAGAACATTAATGGGTTAGTTCAGTCAAACAACTTACTCACTGTCATAAAAAGAAAACAGTAATTTCTCGACTGAAGTGGAATTTTTAGCTTTGCACGTTCGTCCAAACAGATTGAATTGGTCATTTATTAATTCGTGTTTTGAGTTTTTGTACAGACAAAAAAGGGATTTTTTTCTTTTCTGGGTGTTCTCTCTTAATGCAAAATTTGTATTTTAGTGGGACCAGAAAATGCAGCTGTTAAAATTATATTATAAGCTGCAGAGGCTGTACAAAAAAAAACTAGATTAGGACATGCCAGGCTGTCATTAATGCTAATGTACTGGATCACATTTGCACAAGTTCACTGTGGCAAAACTCTCTACATTCATTTGAAAGCAGTGGTTCATTGAATGTAGCCAGTTAATTCACAACATGAAATGCAAAGAAGAAAAATTAATATACTTCTTTTTTTATAGAATATTTACTTAATTCTTCCTAGGATACGACGTAGTAAA